TAAGCCTAACATTAATTGAAACAACAACATTATTTAAATAACATCTAACAATTTGAAATAAAAATCTCTTAAAAATTTACAATTCCCAAAATCGGTAGTATAAGTCATAAGCTCTACATAGTGTTTGCTAGAAAACTTTTAAATACAACTGTCCAGAAATAAGAATAAACAGTGCAATATGAAAACTTGAAGGTAACTCCGAAGCCTGCGAACGCAGCAGCAGGTTTACCTTGAGCCTCCACAGCAATGACCCGCACAGCTACTAACGAACAAATATCTGGATCTACACAAAAATGTGCATAAGTATAGAATGAGCACACCACAACGGTGCCCAGTAAGTATCAAGACTAACCTCGGTGGAGTAGTGACGAGGAACAGTCAAGATACCCATTGGTCTAATAAACTGAACAAGTATGAGTATGAGAACAACAAAAATATGATATCTACATAAAGACTACGCAATATGGCTCACAATACAGTAATGGCAATAAGAAAGGAAACAACAAGTATCAGCGGAATACCATAAAAAAAGTGACACAGAAAAGTGAATGGAACACAACCTAAATCCGGAATCACAAATACGGCAAGGACAAGTAATAACTCAGCAACTACAACCGCTTTTACATCAGGTTTTAGTCATCAAACTCCACGAGGTACCGAACCTCGGACAAATCATTACTCACGGGTCTCAATATTTGAACCCTAACACTTGGCATCATGTGCCCTCATAACACCTCATAACCGCACTGACGACTCACGTGCCAATAGAGTTATTCTCACATAGAAGGCAAATGAACAAGGGTGAGCATTTATGCTCAACAATATCAAGAACACCTCTTATCCGATAAGAGTGCTTAACTACGTGTATGCTTGTGCAAGTGTCCTAACATAGACCATACCAGGAAATAAGCATAAGAAAAAAGAACGGACAGCACGTAGAATATTTTCTTACAGCTTTCACAAGATAAAGCTCACACAGGTAGGTGTACCACTACACAATATCAACAACAAGAATGCCCCCATGCCATCACAAATCAATCCCTGACACAACCCACCTTGTCTCGCCACGTGTGCAATAATAATATAAATGCCCGCCTTGTCTCGCCACACGTTCATAATAATGTTCTCACCTTGTCTCGCCACATGCGCAACCCACACACACATATATATATATATATATATCCTTGTCACGCCGCATGTACAAATATTAGTAGTAACATTAGCACAACAGAAACCTCGTGCAACCCTATAACAGCAACCGCACGGCAGAAACCTCGTGCATCACAATAACCACAACCACACGGCAGAAACCTTGTGCATCACAATAATAAATACAACAGCAATAATGATAATAATATAAGGATACGACAAATATGTCAAACTCAGAAATTCCAGAAATCAAGGAAATGGAAGAACTAATTCACAAGGAGTATCCACAATAGAGAACGCTAGTCATAATAAGAATAGCTCAACAAGAAAGGAAATATTATGTAACAACGGTCCCACAAGGTACAGTTCAACAACGAGGGAGATATCACGAGCCAATAATTCCAATAAGGATGAGTCAATTAAGATATAGGATATCTAAAAAAAAATTAAGGTTGGGCAAGTATGAAAGAGACAAAACAACTTCAATTAAGGATAAGCAGTATGAAGATAATCATAACCTCAATTAAGGATGAACAATATAGAATAAATAATTATAATTTCAGATAAAGATAAGCAGTTAGAGAAAAGACAACACGACAATAGAAGAGATACAATTTCAGTGAAGGCACATATGAATCAAATGAATAACAAAAGTGGATCAGGAAGCAATTAATTTCAATTAAAGCAGGTAGAAGTGAAACTGGAAATTTAGAAACGTAATCATAACGAGAACAACTGCATATTCAGTGAGTACAAGGACCTAAGAATCCCTAAAGGCTAATTTTTTCATAAATAAGTCCGGACACGTATTCGTCACCTCGCTTACACGGACTACAATTAGCATAGAAGACTCAAATCCTAAGGGGTAGTTCCCTCACACTAAGTTAGACAAGATACTTACCTGAAAAAAGACATACCGATACTCAAAAATGAACTTCTCGGGTGAAATAACCTTTGGACGGCTCAAATCTAATCAAAATAACTTCAAAGCACAAATAAAACTTATAAGAGACTATTCCGGATCATAAAGTTTCAATCTTTATCAAAATCTAAAAATCGGTCCAAAAGTCGACCCCCGGGCCCGCACCTCGCAACCTGACAAATTTTATAAAACTCGAACACCCATTCCGTTATGAGTCCAACCATACAAAAATTATCAAATTCTGATACCATTTCGTCCCTCAAATCATGATTTTTTATTTTGGAAATTTTCTTCAAAAACTACCATTTTCCTCAACTCAAAACACAAATTAAATGATAAAAATAAGGATAAAATCATGGAATATATAAAATTCTAGACGAGGAACACTTACTCAATCGATTTTCTTGAAAAACCCACAAATAATTGCTCAAAATCGAGCTCTAGAACTCCAAAAGTGTTAAAAATGGCTAACCCTCGGAATAGAGAACTTATATTCTGCCCAGGTGTTTATGCATCGCGAACGCGGAGAAAGGGACGCGTTCGCGAAGAAAAAAAATTAAGGCTGCCAGGAAGTGCTTCATGAACGCGAAGACACGCTCGCGAACGCGGAGAAGAAGAAACGTAAACCTACGAGAACGCGTAGGGAAACACGCGAACGCGAAGAGGAAAATGATCACCAGCTCCCAGCTCCTAGTTTCTACTACGCGAACGCGAAGAGGAAAATGATCACCAGCTCCCAGCTCCTAGTTTCTACTACGCGAACGCGAAGAAGAGAAGGGAAAACTTATGTGATCACGGATAGAAGCTCGCGAACGCGAAGAAGAAATATTCCCTCCTCTTAAATTACTCTTTACGAACGCGAAGGAAGGGACGCGAACGCGATTAAGGAAACCAGATGACAGAAAACAACAGTTCAAAAATAGAAGAAAATGGCATGTAGCCCACCCGAAACACACCCGAGGCCGCCCAGGACCCCATCTAAACACACAAACAAGTTTCATAACCTAACACGGACTCGCTCAAGGTCTCAAGTTATATCAAACAACGTCGAAACTACAAATCACACCATGAATTGAACTTTTAAACTTTCAAATGTTCCAACTTCTAAAACTAGTGCCGAAACCTATCAAATCAATCGGAATGATGTCAAATTTTGCACGCAAGTCCCAAATAACATATCGAAGTTGTTCCAACTCTCAGAATCGCATTCCGATCCGGATATCAAAAAGTCCACTTCCGATCCAAATATCCAAAAATTCGACTTTCGCCATTTCAAGCCTAAATCAGCTACAGACCTCAGATTCACAGTCCGGACACGCTCCTAAGTCCAAAATCACCCAACAGAGCTAACGGAACCGATAGAACTCCATTCTGGAGTCGTCTTCACACAGTTCCGACTATGGTCAAAATCCTAAGATTTAAGCTTCCGTTTTAGGGACTAAGTGTCCCAAATCACTCTGAATCACGTGGTAATTGAATTCAACCACACACGCAAGTCAATACACATAATACGAAGCTGCTCAGGGCCTTATGCCGCCGGGCGGGACTTAAATTCTCAAAATGACCGGCCAAGTCATTACAGTTTCTTGGTCCCGAAGTACCATATCTTAGTGCAATTGGTGCACTAATGTATCTTTCTAACATTACAAGGTGTGACATAACTTTTTCAGTTAATGTCTTAACAAGATATAGCTTTGCTCCTACAAGGAGACATTGTAATGGAATCAAACACATATTGCGGTATCTAAAAGGGACTGCCGATATGAGATTATTTTATGGCAAAGATTGCAGTCCCGATCTTGTTGGTTATGCCGATGCTGGGTATTTATATGACCCACACAAGGCTCGATCTCAAACAGGCTATGTGTTTACATATGGAGGCACTGTGATATCTTGGCGATTGACTAAGCAATCAATCGTGGCTACTTCATCTAATCATGCTGAGATAATTGTTATTCATGAAGCAAGTCGAGAATGTATATGGTTGAGGTCTATAATACACCTTATTCGAGACAAATGTGATTTGATGTGTGATAAACTACCCACAATTTTGTATGAAGATAATGCAGCATGCATAACCCAATTGAATGGAGGATTCATAAAGGGGATAGGACAAAACAAATTTACCAAAGTTATTTTTCACACATGATCTTCAAAAGAATGGTGATATCAATGTACAACAGATCCGTTCAAGTGATAATATGGCTGATCTGTTCACCAAAACTCTACCGACGTCAACCTTCAAGAATTAGTGTACAAGATTGGGATGCGAAGGCTCAAGGATATGAATTGATGCTTTCATCGGGGGGAGTTAATACGCGTTGTACTCTTTTTTCCTTACAAGATTTTGTCCCACTGGATTTTTCTTGCAAGGTTTTTAACGAGGCAACCAAAAGACGTATTTCTAAACATGTGTACTCTTTTTTCTTCACTAGAATTTTTTCCCATGAGGTTTTTTCCTAATAAGGTTTTAACGAGGCACATTATCTATGGACATCTAATGGGGGGTGTTATAAGAAAAATCAAATTATGGTGGATATCTACTCTTCCTCCATGATCTTCTCAAATGCTTAATGATATATTCAATGACATATTTTTATGCTTAATGACATATTCAATGACATATTTTTCTTCACTTTTCATGCATATATAGAGGTCTTGTAATAAATAAGAAAATACACACAATTGAAGAAGAAAATATCTTCCTTCTCTATCTCAATTTCTTGTTCATGTTTTACTAAATTACTTTTATTTCATAACAACATGTCTTGTTCATGTTTTACTAAATTGCTTTTATTTTATAACAAACCTATTATTTATTGGTTAAAAAGTTATTATTTGACTTGTTGGTGCAATAAGCTTTCTAATTTTGTATATTCAAGTTAGAAGAGAAAATATAAGACAGCGGGCTCAAACTTTCATTTGTTTTGTATTTGCTCCATTAGAACACCCTATATTACTTCTCAACAAAAGCCCTTTTATCAGTGAATTCGAATCGCCTACATTTCAACAGGTACCTTGCACTCCCTCTCACTACTCCATGTAATTCTCTGCATTTCTTACATTACTAATATGCTTTGCAATTACACATGGATCGCTTCTAGTTTCCTTAAAAACTGAATTGTGTTCGACAAAATTCCTCTTAGGAAATCATTTCCACCGAGTTATTGGAGTTTCTCCCTTTTCTTTTCTTTTCTTTATTCTTGTGTTCTTGTTTTTGGGGTCTAATCATAGATCATTTACAGTATATATCTTTAAGCAGTGTAGACTCAGTCATGCTTGCTGCTAGACTTTTTGGGAGAACATTGTTGGCTGCGGCAAAATCAGAGAGTTCAGCTGCTGCTGCTACTTCTGCTGCTACAACTAAGGTTACTAATCCACTTGAGCAGTTCTTTGAAGTTGATAGAATGACTCATGACGATAAACCTGTTGTTTACGGTAAAATCCTTTACCTTTCACTGTGGAATTGCTTCCCTGTTAGCCTGATTGGATTTGCTTTATCTTTTTTTTTTATACCATTTTTATTGCTTGTATCGCTGAGACTAGGGGTGTTCATAAAAATCCGAAAAACCGAACCAAACCGACCAAAAAAACCGATACTTTTTAGGTTTGGTTTGGTTTGGTTTTGGTTTTGAATTTTAAAAATCGATCAAATTTGGTTTGGTTTTGGTTTTAATAAAAAAATAACTGAAAAAACCGAACCAAACCGACTATAAAAGCAACTATTTAAATTTATTATTATACCTATATATATGTATATTTTTATATAAAATCTCTAAAATTTTATGGTACATATTAGTCATTTGTATTTTTAGTCTAGTTCTTTGCTATTATAATAATCTAATTCTTTGCCTTTACATTCTAGTTTGATTGACAGTTTTCTTTTACCTAGTACAAGAATTTATTTCATGTTAAAAATAATCGATTTTTAATTGAGTACTTAAATTATTAATCACCACTTGATTCAATTATCATCAATATATCTTGAAAATGATAGATTTCTCAAAGAGCATTTGATTTAATAGTGTTACATTGAAAATGTAGTCGCCGAAATATGCGTTTGGTAGTGTATGTCTCATATTTAAGAAACAAACCGATAAATAACCGAAAAAACCGAAAAACCGACAAAAACCGAATCGATAAAAAACCGACTCAATTGGTTTGGTTTGGTTCCAATATTTGAAAAACCGACTTACTTGGTTTGATTTCTTTTTAGGGAAAAACCGACCCAAACCGAACCATGATCACCCCTAGTTGAGACTGTGCAAGGTTAAAGTACATTGATTTTCTTGATAAAAACGGTTACTTATGGTGCTGGAAGTATTAATATGGTATAAGTATGATTTGATTGCTAAATTTAAGATCATAGCATTGCAGCTGTGAAAATAGGCTTTGGTTTCAACTCTAAGTGGAATGTTTTGATATGCTTCCTGGCATAAGTCGTGTAGGATCAATATATTCGTGTGTTGTTGGAGAAATGACGACTGTTTCAACTGAAGGGAGTGTGCACAATGCTGTCAATGATATATTTTCTCCAGCTTAGGGTTAGAGGTCACTAAAAGGCTAAATTGGTGATAAATGCATGAAGAAAATAGTGTATAAACATTCATTTTTGATGAATCCTGTTCTACATTTTCTGCATTGTATCCCAGGACCTTTTTCTTCTTTTTTTTTCTTTTTTTTTTCCTTTTTACTGTTGTGCAATTTTCCTCATGGAAGTTCGAAAGAAAAGAATTTCCTTTTTGGAGATTGGGAATCTTTGGCTGTCTTTAATCTTAATTGAATGCTTATATTGTTGAAATTTAATGGTGACGGTTGTCTCAACATTGGAGTAATCGGGTATAAATGATATTATGTTCCTGTGAATGATGTTGTTAGCATTCCATATCAGAACATAATCTAGTAATTTCCTCTTTTTAGAAGTGGGGGTTGAATCTCATACTGGGGTATGGTCTAGGGGATGAAAGTGCCTCATGGGTTAGGGTCTTGTAGGTAAACACATGATTTGATATTGAGGTTCTTATTGCTGATAGACTGTTTGAATAAGTTAGTGCTTAAGTTATAGATCTATTTTAGAAGGCACAGGTTTTTGCATGAGTCCTATATCTGACAGGCTAAAGCTTAAAACATAATCAGGTCGAAGTTGGAAGGCTTCTGAACTGCGTCTGAAGTCTTGGGATGATCTTCAAAAGTTATGGTA